TACATAAAATAAAGAAATTTCCAGTACAGAGGAAAGCAGTCTTACATATTTGTTTAATATGTGCATTGAAGGACATGGTCAAAAATCACATGTGTTTCTTTGTGCGTCTCTGTATGTCATTATGTATGTTTGAGTGAGTGAGTGAGCCTCTGTGTGTGTGCATGCCTGGGCCAGGGTTTGGGGCTTGATGTGCCTTTGCCCCTGTAGAACATGGTCATGGAGGGAGTGGTTACATATCTAAATGCATATAACACAATAACACGAATTGAAAAAAAAAAAAAAAACTAAACAGATAAAAGAAACACCTGAAAAAGACGAGGCTACTGAGAACCTATAAAGCTGATGTTAGAAAATCAAAATATGTTTGGCACAACAGTACATTCAGATCATAGTTATAATTGCAAAAAAGCTGACAGACAGAACAGGATTTAAAAAAACAAAAGACAAACTCCTATATTTGTCATTGCAGAGCCAATGAGCTGTATTAATTTGCAAAATTAAAAAACAACGATAGTCTCTGTTGGTCTCTTACTCGTTACATGTCTCTTCCTCTTTTATCATCTTTTTAAAATTATTTTTTTATAAAGCCAACCATGATATTTAATATATAAAAAGAACTGACTACATTTCTGTTTTTCATCAAGAAATCATGGAAGTGCTGTTTCTGCAGTCACAGTCCTTTTTAAGCAACTGGAGCTGTTGTGTTTTGTTTTTATTTGAAATTTATTCAATGGTATGGATATCCGGATCACTCCTCATGTGTTGTCCTATGTTGTTTAAATTCATCAGGCAATGGTGCACCAGCTTTTCTGTTTTAATTGTTTTAATTTGTCTTCGTGCTTTTTCTGCATTTCCTCCCTTTCTTTCTTAAGCATTTCTTCTTTGTGGTCTGCGACTTTGTGCAAAAGAGTAAACTCATTCTTGTGTTCCTGTTGCTTTTGCATCAATATTCCATATGTTTCCTTCAGATCCCTTATCTCCTCGTTATATTTATCTATCAGTGATTCAAAGTCCCTGGTGTATTTCTCTCTGAAATCATTGAACAGTTCAGCTTGATTTCTGGCATCATCTTCATATTTCTGCTTCATTTCCTCCATTTTAGTTTTATAGTCTTTCTCTAATGCTCTTCTCTTCCTTTCCTCCTCCTCTAATCTAATGCAATGTTCTTTTATTTTCCTTTCATATACTTCTCTTTCCAAGTCATATTTTTCTTTGAGATTTTTAATTTTCATAGCTTCTGCTTCTCGTCTCTGTATATTTTCTTGATACCTTTTTTCCCACCAGTCATTTCTTTCCATCTCCCAGGCCTCTCTCTCTTTTCTTGTTTCTTCTCTGGTGTGCTCCAGCTCTCTGATGAGCTCTTCCTTTGATTCAGATTCGATTTGCTTCTCCAAAGTTTCCAGTCTTTGTTTCCATTGTTGTCGTTGAGTTTCTTCCTGTTCTGTCTTCTTTCTGTCTTCATCTTCTCTGATTTTCTTTTCTATCTCTCTTTTCTCTCGCTCCTTGATAATGCAGTCCTCCATCTGCTTCAGCTGAATCCTACTCTGCTCTTTCTCAGATTCAAATTTAGAGATCTGTTCTTCTATTTCTCTTTTTATTTTTTGCATTTCTTCTTCATGCTTCCTTTTAAGCTCCTCCCTCTCTCTCTTCATGTCTTCATCTTTCTCTTTCAGCAGCGTCTCTACTTTCTTCTGTATCGCTGCCTCGGCCTCTTGGAACATCTCAGTGGTGTAGTGTCTGCCATCATTGTCTTTCAACATGGCTTCAGTTTTGATCAGCAGGTCTGTCACTTGTCTACGGTTTGTTTGATCTTTGTTGTTGAAGACGTGGTATCTGCCTCCACAGTCATTAATCAGAGTTTTTACGAAATCGGCACAATCTTCTTTTATGTAACTTTCAATGGATGTGTCTTCAAGCTCATCTCCTCTGGTGAAAGTAACAATGATGAAGTTTCCTGACTTCTTTCCAAAAATCTCTTTGATCTTTTTCACGG